CTCTCTTCCTCCTTCCCTCTCTTTCTGTCCCTCCCTCTTCTGTTCCCCCCCCTCTCTCTCTCTCTCTCTTTCTCTCTCTTCCTCCCTGTGATAACCTTCTCATCCATATATCTAAGTTGGTGTCTCTATTAATTCTCTCTCTCTCTTTGTCTCTCTCTCTCCACTCTCTCTCTCTCTTACCCTCCATATCCAATACTACTTTATTACAGAGCGCACAAATAATATCTAAATAACAAAAGAAAACAATGGAATTCTAAAACCTATTCAAAGTCACACCAAGCACCAATCAATCAACCAATCAAATTTAGTCTCACAGGACTGATTAGAAAATCAAATTTTTTCTCAACCAAGTCCCTAAAAAAATCATAACTGATAACTACTTCACCAGTATACATGAGGAAGTTTGTGTCCGGGCCAATCAAAATGAGACATAAGTCGGAAATGTCACTAACTGAGAGAAAATTGTTGTTAAAAACTGTCAGCTTTTCCCTACACGTTGGGAACGTGAAAATGAGAAGAAAACCAGCTCCAAAGTTGAACAATTATTATGTTACGTCAAACCACACACATTTCAGTGGAGTACAGTCGTTTATTAAAACTTGTATATATATGAAATAACTTTTTAAAAAATTATCAAACTTTCAAGGGAATAGAAAAAAAACCCCAAAAACCCCCCAAAAATAGCGCTGAACGTTTTTTATTTTTTAATTCCTTTCGGATCATATAACTCTGACTAGCTCAGTGGGACTTACGAATCATTACAATTCGCGCCGACACGGAGACACTTTTATCTTCCACAAGTACTAGTACCTCCAGCAGGTTATCAACTTATTGGAATGTACCGAGTCACTCTTTAGAACCCGCTCACGACACAACAGTCATCTATTGCATAATATATTTATAATATATATCATAATATATATATATATAATATATATATATATATATATATGGCAAGAAGAAATCAGAATCACTTTAAAATGAGCAAGTAGGCCTACCACATATCGACTGAGTAGTGTAAAAGATTCCACCTTACGCGATTTAAAAATCTGACGTATGACAGTCTTACACTGAGAAGCCGGTATGTAGTTCAGGCTTTGGAAGTAACTGATGAAGTTCCAATAGCATTGGACATTGGTTCTTTGGTTTCTTCTTAAGATTCTAATGATTCTTTATTTTTTAGTTTTACCTTACAAGTAGACGACATTCTAAAACGTCTTTCTCTAGTGAGAATGATATAGATCTAGGTTTATAGCGTAGCCTGATGATGGATATTTTTCACAACTATAGCACATTTAAAAACATATATGACGCATCTGGATTTTAGGCATATTTTAGCTACCAATTTTGATGCGCATGTAAAAACTTTATCCCATCTTAAAGTGGTAAATGTGTAAAAGTATTTATACACATATTATATTCATAAATCTCTTTAGAAAAACATTTTTCATATAAATAGATCTAAGCCCTCTAAAAAAGTTATAAATATTTCACTCTCCAAGCCGCACAATTTCGATAGTTCACCCAAGGCTAAATCAGGCTGACCCCTACTACCTCCTTGTCCGTCGAGAGCAGGTTGTTCTGTTCAGACTCAAAAGTAGGCGATTTTTTTCCCGCCCCCATCAACACAATTTAGATCATTTAGGAGGTGGGGGGGATTCCAACCCTGCATTTCAGGACTTACTCAAGCTAAGAGTATGAGGGATACAACATCCTGGCAGAGTGGCCGAGATACTCCATAAAAACGTCTCCCCACACCAGAATCGAACTCTGGTCTGCTGCCTGAGACACCGGTGGGAGGGAACTGGGACAGAACAACTGTCATTTTAAAAAAACACTGGATTAGGCAGTTTATTCAAATACACATAAAAAAATTTTGGGGACAAAAATCTTTAAAAAATCATCTGATCAAGATGTTTTCTCAAGAAACCACTTGGGTTCATTATGATAAAAAAGAAAAGGAAAAAAATATGTGAATGGACTCAAAGTGAAATATGCTCCCACCTTTACATTTGCATAAATGCAAGTACACACACAGATACAGAAAACGTGCGCACACACACACAGATATACCTACACACAAACACACACACACATACACAACACACACAGAAACACCCATGAACACACAAACACACATACACACACATAAACACACACACACACATTAAGTCTGCCTTCATAACTTTCCGTTCCTCAAAGACAAAATTATATCTATACTATTTGGGTAATGAAATGACCGAGTGAAATTTGCATTGCATTTAACGATTGACAGACGAAAAAAAACACAAGAGAAAATATTCAACTGTTTTCATGCTGATACATAGCCTACATAGAGAAGCCCATTTATACCAAAATCAGTAGAGCAGCTGGATTTTTTTCAGTTTGACCCCGTTTTCAGCTTTAAGAGGTTGCCTAAATGAAGATGATAGATAGCATTTGTATGGCACAAATTTCCGCTCAACAGCAAACTCTATGCGCTTTACAATCTATATTATTACCCCAGCAGACTTGATAGCATTCTGAAACAATCTCAGCTTTCTGGGAAGTACAGTGCAAGCTGCCATTTTACAGGCCCTAAATAGTCCCCCCCC